AGCGACTTGCATCGCTACAATTCATACTCACTTTTGCTTGCATTGTGTGCACTTCATCTGGTTCGTGAGCGTCTTGCCGATTGCCTCTGGTACTTTTTATCTTCTAACGCTCTAATTTGACCGTATTCGTCCGTACACATGACACAGTGAAGCAGAAGGACGTGGTGGTTCCAATCGTGCGTTGGAATGAGCCGCCGTAAGTCGAAGTATCTTCTTTGCACATCTTCCACCTACCAGTGACTCAACCGAGTCAGAACTCTTCGTTCTTGGCCAGTAAAGAGGGTAGAAAGCTGTTCTCTAATGTGGAAAAGCTGTAAGCGCGATAATCTGTTTGTCGTTGCAGGGACGGTCGAAGGCACTTTTACTTACTGAAGGTTCTAGCACGACACTGTTGCACAAGTTAACATGCTCGTGTTTCCACACGCTGAAAGTAGGAGACATCCTGTTGTGGGCATGGTCAGTGGGACAGATGAATGGGGACAGAGTATGCTAACTCTGCATTGGTGAGATGGCAGCTGCCTGATGGGGCCTGTGCAGAAGCCAACGATTCGCTGGAAAAAGAGTTGTCGCCGCTGCTGGGACTCGAAATGCTGTGTAATAGACGCTTCGCACTTGTCGTGAGTAAGGTGTCAACGATCATGGTTCTAGACACGTGAAAGATGCATCTGTTGTACTGTGTGGACACAGCGCAGGAGCAAATACGTCTGAGTGTGGCAGTGGGAGAGTTGTCTATGTCAAGACCAAAGTCACCGCGACGAAGGGTGGTCATGTCGACTAATGCATCGAAAATAGTGACAAAGAGCAGGGGTGGAAATGAGGATCGAGAGGTGGTGGAAGGACGACGAATCGCTCCATCTCGATCATCCCCCGCTGGCGGCGCGAAGTGTTCGGTTACGCATCCTTTGTCAACCCATGCATCAACGAAACAGCAAACTCAGCGATGGGAAGCAGTGGTGATATCGCTGGGTACTGATGGACTTGATTTCCACTTAAAAGGAACGGGCAATCAATTCTGCGTGAGATGGTCTGGCTTTGGCGCTCTTTTTTAACCTTTGGTACGTTTACGGCACCTCGATTACATTTAAGGTAGACACGCTTTCCTGCAATCGAACTTTTAGTCGTAACAGCATAGCCTTGGCCACGTGCGAACGTCTGCACTGTATCCATAAGTTGCTCCCGACTGGCATACTTAACCTCGGGAGGAGGAAGCATGTTACTGCGTGGTGCCCTATCAGTTAACGCTAGAGGAGCTAGACCACAGGCGTAAGTAGTATCTTAAATATTTCTTACGTATTACTTGCCAATTAATGGCCTTCATTACCGAGTAATGCCTTTGTTAGAAAACAAATCTTAAAATGAATAGGGGTTTACATGTAAGATTTTGAAGAAAGCCTGTAGATCTAAGGAAAAGAGGTGTGAATCTAGCAATTCCCATTATTTAACGTTCATCAAATAATTTTGCTCCTCCTTTTATTGTATCTGGGATCATTTGGTGCTGTGTTAAATCAACAAAATATTATTTCTAATTATGTATCGATTAAATTTTTATTTTTACTTTTTTGACATTACACAAAGAAAGGAAAATTATAAAAAGGAGCGCAAATGAATAAAAATTTCATTCTTCACAGCATTTTAATTAGATGGTTAATTAAAAAAGGGAAAATGATTTGATAGAGCAATTTAATGAGATGGCTAATTAAAAAAAGGAAAAATGATTTATTGCCTTTTTTTTAAAACAACTTCAGTAAAATAGCTATATATTATCTTAAATAAAATTAAATGAATTTTAATAGATAAAAATGCATAAAAACACAGAGCCTTTGTACGCTTTCGATTGAAATGACAGCTTGTTTAACTACGCAAGCCGACTACACTACAAGGTTTTCGATCATCTGAGCGCTCATCTGCAAGGAACATTTAGTGCACTCACATCAGAACACGCGCAAAGTGTATCAGGGATGCTACGTGCACTTGTTCGTAACAGCCGTATTAATACCATGATCAAACAAAATGCAGGTGTCAGGCTAACAGGCCAAAAAGTTTGCAACCTTGAGAAAAGTAACATAACACGGTGCTGAACAGGCGATCACGCATTACAGCTCTGCTGTACAATACCGAAAGTGATACCTGCCCCTTTTGGATAGTTAACACTACAAAACTTCATCCACCCGCTCGTTGTATCACGTCGTGCCCGTGAGATTTGTTAAAAGGTTTGTGATGGTAAAGTGTGGCTGCTAAATTCAACATAACAGACAAAAAAGTTTGGAATGCCTCTTCTATATGTTAACGGCGTCACATCATCTCAACAGAGCTTTGCGTACTGCTTCACGCAGAATAAGACAGCTGCCTATTACCACTGAAACATAATTAAACTTCAGTACTCGTTTCAAACCATACAATCTGCCCACCAACGACGTCGCAGTTGTGATCGCGTGAGATTGCGCTTATGAGTACTCGGTGGACATATTTTCCAGCACAAACATTATCCTATGCAGGTGGTGTAATGACAGAAAATTGTTTCTGCTAAACATAATATATGTAGAAGCTGGGGAAACAGTTTGTAACAATTTTATGATCTATCTATGCCACTACTATTGAACGATTCCAAAATTTACTTTCATAGAGTTTGACCTTATGTATAAAGGCCTTGTAATTCCTATTTTAACAGGCCATGACATTCGGACTCTTTAGGCGATGCAAGATGGGCAAATTCCAGCCCAAGTAATGCGTTATTGCAAAATAACCTGGCTGGTGCACAAAAAGAGGTTTGTGTTAGAATTTTTTCGCGATAAGATGCTTATGGCCTCATCTTAACGTCGCGTGTGGATTTATCAATATACTGATTATTATGCTGTTGCTAAAATACTAAGCGGCTACATCCGGAGACAGCAGATGCTTGATGCGGAGTTTAATTATCACCCCAGCATTGCTAGTAAGTGATTATAAGTTAATTTCGAATTTTCACATAGTTGTCTACTTACTCAACTCTCCGGATGTTATATTGAGGTCTACATTGAGCTCAAATTGCCCAGACGCACCATTAAAGAAAATTATCTGCTCGTATGCTACTAAAAGTAATACCGCTACTTAATCTTTACGGGGTCATCACGGTCTTATGGTTGATCTCGTAGTGGGACCTGAGTCAAGCCTTGCGAAGGGACCGGCTATGTAGTTTACCACTAAAGAAATTCGAAGATTGTTCGCTATATTTTTATCGACCAATTAGAGCATCGTAAGTGTGAGAAGGTTGAAACCTATTGCACGGGGGTGGATGCTAAATGTCCCCCTTATTATTGATCCAAAACTTGTCGTAGTTTTTCAAATGTGCAGCATTATACATCCGTGACTTGGCGTTTGTATGTCACCCACACATTTGTCCGATTTTTTATTTCAACAAAAAAGGTAGAAATAGAGTCGTACGCCAATTCCTTGACCCTATTATCCTGATTGGTTAAATTTTCAAAACATTTTGATCAGACATCGGCTACAATTACTGCGAGCTCAAATGGTACGGCTATGAGTGACTATATGCAAGTTAAATGCCAAAAGTTAAATTCGTACTTATCTGTGTGCGTTTCAGTCTGTCTGTCCATGTGTCTCATTGTAAAATAAGACAGCTAGGTGAACCACACCTTTCCCCCTGATAGGCATGCATTCAGCTCCCTCTATAACATCATTTAGCCAAATTACCCATTTTTCCCCGCGACGGATCTTTGTTCCTTTTACATCCCTCTATAACATCCTTCTGTCTATAGGAGCAACATCCTTTATTTGTCAGGTAACTCTTAAATAAATCCACATATATAATATCTACACGTTAAAAAGCTTGTCCTTTTTAACTCATGGGTACTGCATTTCTTGTTCAGTAAGATTCTGGAATCCAGATTACATTACAAAAATTTAGTCAGTTAATTTTAAACACAACGAAAATTAGAAAGTAAATTAAAAAACCCAAAAGAAGACCCCCTCCATTCCCCTCTGTTTTTCTCACACTTCACCTCATCCAGATCACCCTATCCACCCACACTAGGTCCAGCACCGCATGGAATCCATGCGTCAAGCAGCCTCACTAGCTACCAAGAAAGCCATCTGTGATTATCAGTATCAACAATCAGCAAATACCCACAATATGTTCTATTAGATTTGTATCATCCAACAAGAAACGGTTACCGGTCTCTTGTACCTGAAACGTAACGGGGTGAATCGTTACATAACAATTTATAATAAATTGTTAATAGAATATAACTATAAGAGTTATATTCTCAGAATATTGTCATAAGGACAAATATTCTGTTGCACTTACAAGTAGTTCCTAATTGGTTGATATAGGTCATTATATCAACCAACGAAGACGCTCCACGACAGACGCACGCAATGAGTGGTGAGCAGATAGCTGATATGCACATTTGTATTTAAACATAGTTAGATGAAGATAAATAGTGATTTATTGCAGACATTAACTATTATAAATACAGTTCTACTTTTTACTCTAACCATGTACTCGCTTCTTCCTACCGTCTTCCTCTGCACGTACGAGTGTACGTGACGTTACGAGGCACCGCCTTACTCTGTCGTCAGAATAAGTAGCTTGTACTGCCATCAGTACAAGCTTCAGGGTGCCCCGTTACACCTGGTAGCACTTCGTAGTCCGTCCAAGGACCACGTTCACATCTAACACGAATATGTTGGATGATGAAGATGACCAAAGCTTTCACGCTACGCGTGACGGCTACTCCCATTTGAGCGATGTCGAATGGGATGCGGTTGAACGGATGGGATCAACCATGGGCATCCATGCTGTTAGCGTCATGCTAGAGGCTCTTAATAGAGATGCCCAACATGCTACTATCGCCAAGTTCATTCAAAATTAACTTGACGGAGAACGCGAGAAAATAGCCTTGCTTAACCAATAAGGCTCTCAAAAAGCAGAGTTGTTGAGAGAACAGGGTGCTCAACAGTTTGAACTGTTGAGACAGCAGCAGGCTGCTGCTGGTGGGTCGATGCATTCGCGTCGACCCGAGACTTTGAAGATTGACATCTCCAAGTATAGAGGAGTCGAAGAAGACTCCCTCTTGAGATGGTTCGTCAAAGTAGACGACGCCATAAGGGCGCGTCGCATCGATGATGGAGATATGCAAGTTGCATTTGCCCAATCAAATCTGGCAGGACGTGCCAAGACTTGGGCTTTGGGACTCAAGTTGCACGACCCATATGCGTTTGGGTCGTTAGACGTCTTCAAGTCGCGGCTCAGACAAACGTTTGAACCGCCTAGAGCTGAGTTCAGAGCTCGAACCGAACTCTTGAAGCTCAAGCAGGGTAAGCGTGATGCGCACGCTTACGTACAACATATACGACATCTCACGAATTCTATAAGTTTCAATCCGGTTGATGAACACACGTTGGTTTCGGTGTTCATGCAGGGTCTTGCGGATGGTCCCGTCAAGACTCACCTGTTCCGGCTTGAACTGGATTCACTAGAACTAGCCATTTCCATTGCGGAACAGGAATACTTCAGTCTGAGACAGACTCGCGCCAGCTCGACATCATATCGTCAACCGAGACGATATGACAACGGAGGTCCAGAGCCGATGGAACTCTGTCATGTAGAGAGCGAGAAGGCTCGCTCTACAGACTACAAGAAGTTGCAGAAATGCAACAGATGTCAAAAGACAGGACACTACGCTTACGAGTGTAGTGCCCCTCGTCCAGTGTCTCGCAACACTGGGCGTAATGACCGCCCACCCATGAGAAAGGGGCAGGGACGAGGGTCCGCTGTTGGTGCAAAGACGCAACAACGGGATGGACCGTCAAAAAACGGACAGGATCAGTAGGTGCGGAGCACCCTACTGATCCAGCAACGTCAAGAGAATTTGTAGGCCTCTTGATGAAGGTTGCTCCCAACACACAGACGTTGTGCGTTGCTGCTCTAGGTAATGAGATCTCACTCATTACCTTGAAACTCGAAGTGACGAATAAGTTGTCCCTTCGAGCTCTAGTCGATTGTGGGGCGTCCAACAATTTTGTGCAACGCCAATCGCTAGAAGATGGTCACTTTAAATTCAGTGAATGTGACACACCTCCTACGAGGATGACGGTTCGTCTTGCGACAGGCGCATCCGTAACCGTCATGAAGCGTATAGTGAAGATTCGCTATACGCTAGAAGATACCCAATATGACGATAACTTTATCGTATTGGATTTGGATGACAAATTTGATGTCATCCTTGGAATACCGTGGCTCAGAAGGTACGAACCACGGGTAAACTGGCAACATCGAACAGTAACGATGCCTGCCGCTTGTTCATCAGATGGCCATCTGATGAACGTTTTGGAGCGTCCACAAGCGTGTGGATGTACTACGAGTGAGTGCGATGGCCTCACTTGTGGTACGGTCGTTAGTACGACTGCACAAAACCTTAGTGTACCAAACGGTTACACTTCGGAGCAAAGTTCCAGCGGCTGTGAGGAAACACAGGCTGCGCCGAAGGTCCACCACTCGAATAAGTCGAGTGGACTGGGACAAAGATGTATCCCTGGCGGGGAACAAATAGAAGAGAAACAATCGATCGCTCAGGTTAAGCGAAACGATAATCCTAGATCGACTGGAGAGTCTTTCGTAGAGGATCTCGCTGTGGTTGCGCAACCCCAGCTAGAGGAAGTAAAGCGAATAAGTCCCAAGATTACAAATACGGCGGGAATAAGTTCCCCGAAACCCGCGGGAATAAGTCCCCGGGAAGACGAAGGAATAAGTCCTTCGAGGCCTGAGGGAATAAGTCCCCAGGAAATGACAGAGACATTGAATGTCATAGTCAATAACGGATCGAGTGTAGGCGCTTATACACTTGATCTGATTGCGCCTCCGAAGTTGACTTCGGAGATCACTCAGTTGCCAACGCTCGGATATAAAAGGTTCTTGCGTGATCTGCGTAGTGACAAAGTCAAGCAGATCTGCGTACTCGTCGCTGACGACGAGTGTGTAACCGACATTAGGTCAGCAACAGTGTTTACTGAGAACGAGAGAGTTCTCAGTAGTTCATCTATGGACGAGAGTGCCCTCGATGAAAAGACACGAGTTGAGCGATATGACTCCCAATCGTGGGAATCGCTCAAGACAAATCCTCTCTACGAAGATTTGGTTGAATTCAAGGATGTATTCCCTGAAACTGTTCCGTGCGAATTACCGAAGGATAAAGGTATTTGACACGAGGTCGAGCTTAAACCAGGCTCGAAGTACCGTGTCATGAAGCAGTGGCCACTGCCTCGTGAACAAGTACTTGCGATCGACAAGTTCTTTGCCGATCGTTTAGCTGCGGGCCATGTGAGGGAATCAACTTCCCTACATAGCTCTCCGACCTTCTGTGTGCGAAAAGCAACAGGAGGGTGGCGGATAGTGCACGCGTTTAACAAATTGAACGCTGCAACGGTACCGGCTCAGACGCCGATACCGAGGAAGGACGTAATCATTGATGGCATGTCAAAGAGTACCATCTTTTCGTCCATGGATTTGATGGATGGCTTCTATCAAATCCTTCTGCGAGAACGGGATATACCCTATACCGCAGTGAGCACCCCCAGTGGTATGCTCTGGGAATGGATAGTAATGCCACAAGGGCTTAGTAACGCCTCTGCCACGTCCAACAGATGTGCATCACATCTGTTGAGACCAGTACGAGAATTCGCGCCGAGTTATTTCGATGACGTATTCATCCATAGTTGGGCTATGGATGGAAAGTCGGACGTTGAGGTTCATAGATACCACGTCCGACAGGTTCTTACAATCATGCGAAAGCATCAATTGCATGCCGATCTCAAGAAGCGTATTTTTGCAGCGAACGAAATGCTACTTCTTGGGTGCATCTTTGGTAAGAACGGTGTACGTCCTGATCCCGAAAAGATCAAGGCGATCACCGACTGGCCTGTGCCGGTTGATGTCAAAGGTATTCGAAAATTCCTTGGGCTAGCGGCGTAGTTGCATAAGTATTCACGCAATTACGCCGAGATGACTGCACACCTCTCTCGTTTGTTGAAAATGAACGAGCGGTGGTTATGGGACGCTGAATCTCAGCGCTCCTTTGATGGTATCAAGCAGAGCTTGATACAATCCCCAGTCCTAGCAATTGCCGATCAGGGCAGGCCATTTCATGTGGTCTGTGATGCCAGTGATTTCGCAATCGGCTGTGCATTAATGCAGTACGATCTTGAAGGCGTTGAACGCGTCGTCTGCTATCAGTCGCGTCAGCTGCAACCAGCTGAGCGGAACTACCCAGTGCATGACAAGGAACTCCTTGCCATGAAGTATGCACTCGAGAAGTTCAGAGTCTATCTATTAGGAGATAGACCCTTCGTTGTTTACACTGACCATGCGTCATTACGCACGGCAGTGAACAGCCCGCACCTCTCACAACGAATGGCGCGGTGGTTGTCATTCTTTGCAGAATACAACTTTACGGTCGAGCACAAACCAGGACGACTTAAAGTCGTCGCTGATGCACTCTCACGTCGTTCCGACTTTGAAACAGTCGCGAAACCCAACAGTGAGACAGTCACTGTTGCGGTTATGACGTCCTCAGTCCCATCTACAACGTTGTATGATGATGTGAGGCGGGCATACGCCCAAGATGGTGAGATTGTGAAGTTGTTGACACATCTCTCCCAACCATCTCGAGAATCGTTGAAACGATTGTCGTCTGCGTATCGATCTGCATCAGATCGATACACTACTCGTAACGGTTTACTGTATTATACAGCCGTTTCTGGTGACACACCACGTGTTGTCATTCCAGATGATACTGATCTGCGTTTGCGGATCATGTTCGAGTATCATGACGCTCCTATAGGAGGACATCGTGGCCGAGAGAAAACAAATATCCCGGTGAGTCGAGACTTTTACTGGCCCCGCCAGTATCAGTTTGTGCGAAAGTAGGTTCGCGCATGCGAAGTCTGTCAACGAGTGAATTCAAGTCCTTCAATGTGTGCACCTTAACAGCCTCTACCGGTTCCGGCTGAGTGCTGGGAATCCATCTCAATGGATTTCGTCTTCGGGTTACCCAAAGACGCACGCGGGAATACGGGTATTCTCGTATTTGTTGACAGATTCAGCAAAATGGTACGCCTTGTGGCTGTACCAGAGACAATCACGGCAAGTGGCTGTGCTTGTGTCTTTATCGACACCATCTTTCGACTTCATGGGCTGCCCCGTGAACTCGTATCAGACAGAGATCCACGATTCACTGCTGATTTCTGGCGTTCCGTGTTCAAATCACTCGGAACGCGCTTGAAGATGTCGACATCTGATCATTCAGAGTCAGATGGTCAGACCGAACGTGCCAATCGTGTCCTTGAAGAGATACTTCGAGGATACGTACACTCCTTTAAGAGTTGGAGTGAGTTTTTGCCAATGGTAGAGTTTGCCATCAACAACTCGGTGCATGCGTCCACGACACATACACCGTTTTACGTGAATGGCTTGCGCCATCCGCGTGTACCCACCTTACTAGAGTGTAACTCTGGTTTAAGGGGGGGAGGGACTCGCGCGAGCAAAAACCGAATTGGTTCACGCTCATCACGCTCTGAAGAAGAAGTCATTGCGTTTGATGCCGATATCGATAACATCGATATCGAAGAAGATGATGCCAGTGAGAGTGCGGAAGCCCTCACTGAAGACAATAATCCCAGTGAGAGCGCGGAAGCCCTCACTGAAGAAACGATTGATGTCGCTGCAGTGCGCTCACAGCACACTGAAGCTAACGAGTCATCAGATGAGTTCATACTGGCTCGTGAAACGGTAGTCCATTTTGTGCAAGACTCCATCGCCGAAACGGTGGATAAGCAAAAGCAAAACGCTGACAAGAATGGAAGGGCAAACACTCTTTTATTTAATAAAGGTAACTTAGTCCTACTGTCTACGGTTAATCTACAGAAGCATGTAGTGACTAACTTGGGTAGCAGTAAACTACTACCCAAGTACATCGGCCCATTTCGTGTATTGCACCGCCTAGGCAATGCATACACGATCGAGTTACCACGTAAGATGCGAACGCATCCCACGTTTTACTTTGGTCGGCTTAAGCCGTACCATCAGTACGCTGCTTCTTCCGATGAAGAACGCCCTTGCGCTCAAGCATCTCGCAGAGAGCCTTGTGCTCCCGATGGTGGGCATCAACAAGGGTCTGAAGAGCAGCTATCTCATCCCGAGACCGATCACCAATTCCACGAGCTACCCTTAGCTCGTCACGAAGAGATGTCAGAGCTCTCTCGTTCTCGATCTGAGCAAAGGCAAACTCAGCTCGATGCTTCAAGACAGTGTCCGCCATTTGGAGACGCCTGTCCCGCTCATGTTTGAGATCGCCGCGTAACCCTTGCGTTACGCGATCAAAGAAGCTCTCGGGAACATACGGATCCCGATGATCGTGTGTAGAGCGTCTTTCCTCCTCCTCCACCTTCATTAGAGGACTCTCGCGGTGGCCAGCGCTATCTAGTTGAGCAGCTGTTGGACCACCGCGACGTGAACGGACGTCGGACGAGTTATCTCGTCCGATGGCGCGGCTATCCCCCGTCCTGGGATTCTTGGGAGCCCCGCTCCCAACTGATGATCGACGTACTGGGTCTGGTTGAGCAGTACGACGCGGCACATCCTGTGCCGCAGAAGGACCGCCGGAGAAAGTCTTCCCGGCACGGTCGTAAAGGGATTTCAGGTTGTCAATACCTTCGTACATCTCAGTAGAGATACGTACGCGCCACCACGGGCTGGTAAGGAGGTAAGCCTCCTTAGGTGCTCGTGCAGAGTTGCTCACACAACATGGGCACGAGTCTCCCCAGGAGAGACAGGGTA